GGGGGGGGGGTGATTGCAACTGGGTGTTTTAGACTCGTCCATGTGGGGTCAGCATGCGTACATGGACGGGCAGGTCGAGGCTTCACACGAGTGTTTTTTTCTTTTTTTCGATTCAAGAGCCAAGAAGAAGGGGGGAGAGAAGGGGAAAGATGATTCCAAAGCGGGAGGTTTGGCGGGGGTAGCATTGTCAGTGAGTGAAAGTGCATGGGGGTGGGAAACTGTATCGGGGGCAACACTAGCAAGTCAAGTGTACAGGAGAACGAGTCGACAACACACGGTGACGGCTGGCAGGCAAATGCATGACGATGGAGAGATGATGGGTGATGAGGACGATCTGATAACCCCCCCGTGGTGATGCTGATTCGCGCATCGTATCGCCGTCGTATCGAAAGTCGTATTGAGTCGTATCGCACACCGCACACGGCAGAACACGCCAGGTCTGTACCCAAGGCGGTAGCGCTGTCTCGGGCTTGTTCCGCCTCATGGCGCAGCAGTAGCAGCAGTAGCAGTGGCAGCAGCAGCAGCAGCAGCAGCATGGCTCAGTAATGCCCGAGCCTCGATTGGACTGTCCCAACTAGGCAAGCCCAGCCGCGCGGTTCCGAAACGGCGACTTTCCGCATCGGGGCGCGGGTGATTATGTAACGAGGGAGTGTCGAGGCGACGACCCTTTTTGCTGCTATTACGCACACGTCGGTTCTGGATTTCCGCGATCAGCGCCGCCTTTCTCTCCTCGCCGCCGTCCATGGCCACCATAGCACACCCAGGCTGCTGCCCATACACTCGAGATCCCCACTACCCCCCATGGATACATCCAGATCGCCAAGTTGACAAATGCACGCACGTGCGGGCGTCGGCGAGCATGGCGAGGATCCTTGGGCGAGGAGCACCGGCACTGGCACTGGCAAGCGTGGCCCCTCGCTCGCGTCCCCCCCCCCCCGAGCAGCGTGGTAAAGAGGAAGGAGGATGCTTGGCACCGCAGCGTCGAACGGGTTGGCAAACGACGTCCCCATGGCTTGGCGTGTGTCCCGTCATGTCTGTGTCCATGGATGTATGGGGGGGGCAGAATGGCATGACAGGTGTTTGGGCGAGCTCGTGAGCGTGATTGCGTCGCGCCCAAGTGGAATACAAGCACAGCAGCAGACAGGCATTCCCCTTCGTCGCCCGTGGGCCCGTCCCCGGCGGGCGGCCAGCGCAGGCAGTCTGGCAGTCCAGCATCGCTGGCAGACACAAGTGTGGTGTGCGTGTACCAGCAACATGGCATGGACGTCGCTGGTCGCCGTCGCTGGTCGCCGTCGCTGGTCGCTGGTCGCTGGCACTGGGGCGCTGGTGTCGCCGCCTCCACCGCAGCCACCCCTTCTTGGCCCGAGCGCTCGCCAAACTACCCGTGTAGTGGTAGCGTGTAGTCGTCGTGGCTCTGCGAGTCAGGGCGCGTTTGGCTAGCATCGCCCACCCGTCTCTCTTGCTCTCGATTTAATTTCCCTCAGCTGCTATTTCTCCTCCATTAGCCTGGGCTGGAAACGGCTGGGGGGGGGAGGCTGTGGCTAGCCATTGCTAATAAGATCGCCTTGGTAAGGCAGATCGTCGAGCACCCCAGTCGGCTGCTGCTGTCTGTGCCTGCTTGTCTGTGCCTGTGTGTGCGTGCGTCTGTGCGTCTGTGTGTCCATGTGTGTCGTGTGGTGGTCGTGTCTCTGTCTGCATCTGTGTCTGTGTTGCGCCCACCGCCGGCCATATTTTTTCCGGCCCTTGCCTTGCCTTGCCTCGGCTTCCCTTGTGCTGCTCTGCCTCGCCAGAACGCACCCAGAATCCACGGTAAATCATGGCCGTCCTTGCTGAATGGGTCATGGTTCGTGTGGTGAGGCGGACCGTCCTGCGTGGTCCGCTCACTCATGATCGTGATCGTGCATCTTTCTGCCTGGCCTACCGCGCAAACGTCGATCACACCACCACTGCAATATAGCAGAAACACATGGGCTATAGCATAACAGCTTGCCTGCCACGCCTGCATATACGTACGCGCTGCCAAAATACCGTGTGTGTGTGTGTGTGTGTGTGTGTGTGTGTGTGTGTGTGTGTGTGTGTGTGTGTGTGTGTGCGCGCGCGCCCACGCGAGCGCCGCGAATTATACATACTCACTGCTGGGGGGTCGCTATTAGTCCGTCTTGCCTGGATAAATGTGGACAACCAAGTAAGCAACCTTCGCCTCCATCCCCCCTGCCCAAACACCAACCACCAACCATGATACAATTCTCGTCAAACATCTCACCCCATCGAATGACTTTGCTATCACTCACCTGGTGATGAATCGCTCTGGTTATTCATTGCTGCTGCCCTCGGAGAAGCCTATCGCGGGGCCACGTCGGCCGAGTCGGCTTTGTCCCAGCTTCTCTGCCACCAGTGCTGTCCATGCATCTCGCAAAAGCCACTATACATGGACGACACACACGATGGTCATAGATAGACATAGCTCCCACCCACTAGCGCGACAACGGCACCAAAAATCTCCCATCCATCACTCGGCGCCATCACCGCTTTGGAGGGGGGGGGAGGAGGGGGTGCAAGGGATTAGTAAACGTACCTTTCCCTTTTCTCTCCCTCTTCTGTCCATCTTCTTCTGTGCTCCCCTTTTTTCATTATTATTAACGTTTTTAATCTTAACCCGTCTCCAAGCGAAGCGAAGGGCAAGTCGACGAAAAAAATTTGGAAAAAAAATACGTTCCTGCGTGGCGGTACACACTACGGCAGTTGGAACAAGCCGGAGGGTGAGGCGGTAATTCCCTCACTATAGCGCCAAAGCGGCTGGCTGCCCTCCAAGTGTCAACGGCCTCAACGGCCCTATTCTGTCCCAAATAGCCCCCCTCAAGTGTACTGCAACATACGCGCCCCCCTTTCAGGTCTAGCACACAACGTGTACCTTTCAGTGTCTCAACTCTGTCAACCCACTGGTGCCTGTGTGTCGTCGTCGTCGTGTGTCTGTGTCGTGGGGGGGAGTTTTTTTTTGCCTGCTGGTACGCCGGCACCCTTCATGCAGGGTTCCACGAGCCAAGCCGCTGCATCCTTACAACACATAGCTGTGTGTGTGTGCCTTTTTCTGCCTTCTCTTTGCCTTGAACCCTGGGTGCGTTCCTTGCCTAAAACCACGAGCTGGCCGCTTTTGTCGCAACTCTGGCACTTTGGTCTCACCGACCCTCCTAGCTGGCCCGCCAGGAGAAATGACGAGCACGAGGGGCCAAAGGAAAAGGAAGCCGTGTGTGTATGACGTCTGGCCGCGGAAAAGCATCAAGTCAACCACATCGCCGACATGGCCGCACTTTTCCATCGGTCACGTCTCCGTGATGCAAACTTTCAACTGCCGTACCTATACACACACACACACACACACACACACCACACACGCCGACCATGCGCACGGGTGTAGGTCGCTCTGCCCACCGCATCTTTGGAATCGGCGCGAACAAAGGGAGCAGGAAAATCAAGTCGGAGCGACTCTGCCCACGACGGACGGGGGCCAAGTACGGCAGCTGCATGGAGCATGGTGAGTCAAGTTAGCCTCGCGATCACTAGTCGTTGATGATCTGTTTAGCAACCTGCATGTCTACGTGTACCTTGAGCGTCCGTGTGGGTGGAATATGCCGTACGTAGCGACGGTACACCCGGAGCAAATCGCACACGGAAGGGCCGGATTTGCAGTCCACGACTCGGGGCGCCCGGCAAGCGTTGATTGTGTACCACCTTTCGAGCAATCGAGAGACAATCGGAACTCGGTCCTGTGTGGTTGCGCCGAAATGGCCGGCGGCGGTTGGGAGTCCAAGGGGGAGGACGTGTCACCAGGTCGTCCCAGCTTCAAGCATAGGGGGGGGGGGCTCCTGTCATGTTTCACGGAAAGATCCTAAGACAGGGTATTGTTGGCTTTTGCGCGTTCCGCACAGTGCCTTGAGTGCATGTGCATTGTGTGCGCGTGCCTTGTCTGAACATGGGTCTCGTGTGTTTGAAATGCCTTATGTTGAGGTGAGTTTGGATTCAGTGCACCCGCCGAGTGAGGCGAGTAGGGGAGGGGTGTGTGTGTAGGTGCAGAAGGGCGACAACCACGCGCCCGCACAAAACGAACCCAAGCCGGGGAGTTAGGGCCTATTCTTTCATGTCATAACCTTTTTTTGTCTTCTTCTGATCAGCGACGTCATGTTTAAGTGTGTATGCTGTAGTAAGGTAAGGCGCGTGAGACAAGGGACGCAGCATGAGAGAGGAAACCTGTCAGACAGCCCGCTGGTGGCTCACGCCCGCCCCCCGCGTGGACGGACGGCCTAAGGGCTGTCCTGTTCAGCCCTACAACGTTCGCGACCATCAGATCAGTAAGCCCTTGCGCGAGCAACCGTCCGTGGAGTAGGGTGGTTAGTTCCCCCCCGTCAATCAATCGCCTCGGCCCAATTTGAGTGCTGACTAACGACTCAAACGTGCCAACGTGGGAGAAATCCGGGGTAATAAAACACGGCCATATCTGTCGAGGACGGTTTTATTCCACGTCGTATGCGACCGCCATTTGCCAGAGGCGCAACTGCCGGGCGTCTGCAAGCCCAAGCTGGCTAAGGTGCATGTTTCGATAAGGAGAAGAGACGCCCTGGTCGGACCCGACAGCGTGTTTCCCTCCGTGTTCGGGCTCCGGCGGCCCTGCGTGCAAATGCGAGGCCGTCGTCACAAATCGCCGACTGCCCTACACCTAAACTCGGGCTTGGGCTCTAGCTGGCACGAACCAGCAGGCCCTCCGCCAGGGGATCACCGCGCCATGCCGCTTCAGGCAAGCGTTGCGGCCCTTCTCCGCCATGGCTCCAAGCGACCTAGCGCCCAAGCGCCATTGCCCTCTTGCCCTCTTTGCTCTCTTGCTCGTGCTCGTTGCAGCCCTTGGCCTGCCGATCGCTGATTCGCCGGCTCGTTTGCGGGCTTCGATGGAATGATGGGCGATTAGCGTGGGAGTAGGAGCGCAAGGCTGACATGGGCGCGCGCTGCTTGGGGGCTGGCGTGCGGGCTGGCAGGAGGGTGCTGGTCCGCCAAGCAGGAGGTCAAGAGGGCGGAATTACCGACAGAACGACCGTTGGCGGCCAAAGCAGAGGGATGGATTGAGTGCTTAGCGGCTTACGATAGTTACCGGCGCTAGGGCACGCTGCCAAAGCTTCTGCTTCCGTCGTGGTAGTAGAGAGCTTTTGCCCGCCCTCGATGCCGCGTGCGTGCGTATGTAATGTATCTTTTGGCGAGCCACGCGCTCTGATCCCCAATGACATGGGGGCATACCGCCTGCCGCCTGTATGTAGGCGGTGCAGGCGGTGCCAGGGCCCGAGTACCGTGTGGAGCGGCCGCTGCTGGTTGGCGGGCGCCAGGCGTGGCGCAGATGTTTTGGTCGTCTGGAAGTCGTCCATGGTGCGAACTGCATCGCCATTGTGAAACCGACAGCGCTGTCGCCTTGAGACAGCCGGGCGTCGCGCGGAGCCCGCCAGAGGGCAGAGGCGTGCCGCTTGTACTTGTCATTGTCGTCGTCGTCGTTGTTGTTGTTGCTGTTGTTGCCGCCGCCGCCGTCGTCGTCGCCAGGGCTGCGCGCGAGGCCAAGGAACAACCTCGCAAATAACACTTACAGTTGGGTGCGCGAAGGATGTTTGCGCCACTGCCACTGTATCATTCCACTCGACGCCCGCACCAGCCTGCCTGTGTGCCTGTGTGTGTGTGTGTGTGTGTGTGTGTGTGCAGTGTGTGTGGTGATGCTGCCCAGTGGGGCTTTGCGGAGTCAGCTCCGTGCCGCGTCCCTCTCTCGCAATCGCACGTGACGACCAGCCGGACACCGAGTGCCCGCCCGGCTTCTCGTCGCGTGCCTAACACTCTTTCTGGCATGTTTCGCGCGGCATAGCACTGCAGAACGAAAATGCCATTCACAACTCAATCCTGAGGCGTTATGGCGCCGCCGCCGCCGCCGACTGCTCCTCCACCCCCCACTTGATTCGTCATCCCATTTCCTTGGAACCTCCGCCGTGGCAGCCTTCTGTCCACGGACGGTAGACGGTGTAGTGCGTCCGACTGCTCTCCCGCTGGCCCATTCGACACTAGCACGTTGGCTTGGATGCGTCATGGCGCAGTCGTGGTCGCAGCAGCCCCACGCCCGGCCAGACGCTCAAGTCGACGAGGCGAGCAACACCATTTCGCACCATACTTCCACATGTGGAACGCTGCTATTTCGACAGTGGGATGCCTTTTTCGCTGCCTGCGTCACTCTCCATGGAGCTGCTCCTCACAGGATTAGCAAGCACGCCTGCGGTGACGAGCGCTGCCATTGGCCCACCTCTTATTTCCGCTTTTGGTGGGCTCGACTGCGCTGCAGACACGTATGGTTGCATTCGTGGCAAGCCTCATGACCCAGCAGCTGAAAGATAGGCGCAATCACTCGGCTGTCAATGGCTGCGGGCACGAGCAGACGGGCCATGGCAAAGACAAGTCGGAGCTTCGAGTCTTTGCCTCGGACTTGTGACTGTCATCGGGCCATCTGATGACTTGCATCTTTTTTTTTTGCAACCCACGACCAGGTGTAGGCATAGGTGTAGTAGGTGTACATGGAGGGGTGCAAGCGCGGGGTAACTGCATGGTCTGTATTATCCAGCAACCACCAACCTGCACCGCCCTCGATAAGTAATAACCATGTCTTGTTGTAGGTGTGCTCTAGATGTGCACTGTTCGCAGGCCATGCAGCCAGGCAAACTGGTTGGGGGCCAGAGGTGAGTGAATGTGTTGCCACAATGCCGAGCTTTGCCTTGGTAGTCGTCACACTGCGTTTCGGCACGCCGTCATGTGCAGACCATGGACGACGCAGTGCCGCAAGCGCTTCTTGCGAAAGCCAGAGCCTGCTACCGCGTTGCTTTCCAATCGGCTGCCTAGCACCTTGGCTCAAAAGAAAAGGGCACAAGAAGTGACCGATGACGAGCATGATGATGCTGCGGATATAAGAGAGTAGCTCCGGTGTGGGTGGTGGCAGTGGCAGTGGTGTTCAGCGATAGTGCTAAGGCCTCGTTGAGCAAGTTTCCGTCTTCAGCCCTATCAGGGTTGCGCGGCGTCGAGGCAGAGCCGTCCTGGTTCCTCTGCTGGATGCGTCACAGGCGGATGTGCAAGTCGCGTAGGCAGCGTTGGTGTTGGCGTGGGCGTGGATAATGGGATTGCTCGATACAGAAGGCCGTGTGGCGTCCAATCACGGGCGAAACCGCGGTAGCTCCTCTCCACGGCCCTGCCAGGCTTAAGCACCGGGACGGCTTGACGATCCTGACTCGCATGTCTGATCCCTCGCGCGTCGCCTCACCTCGCCGCCTGGCGAACGGGCACGAGTGTTTCTGCACGACGGAAACAAAGGCCAAATAACAGGACCCCAATGGTGTTGCACGCAAATGACTCGGCCGCCTGGCGCTCGGGAGGGAGAGTGCAGCGGGCACACGAGGCATATTGGGCGTGGTTGGCTGGATGGATGGTTAGTTGGTCGGGGGGCTGTTTGATTTTCTTGGGGCCGGTGGGTGGTGCCATGGGGCAAACGTCTGCGGCAAGGTTCCTGGATGGGGATTGCGTGGTGGGGCATCGCTTGCTGATCGTGTGGGATGACAGCCACCCACACCAAACTACATGTATGTGCTATAGAGAGATATCGCGACTTTGGCGTGCTTGAACGGAGTGGCGGGCGTGGGAGCACGCAGACTGGCAGCCACTTCGGATGCAAGCCACTTGGGCTACCCGGTGGAATTTTGGCACCGGCACGGCCGCCCTAAGCGCAGCGTGAACAGGCAGGAGGAGAAGAATACACGCGTTGTGGGTGTGGGTGTGGGTGTGTCGTCGAGTCGAGTCGAGTCGCGTACAGGAAACTGCGCCATGTTGCGAGGTGGGCGGCGGATGGGATCTGCGCAGGCAAAGTAAGCTTGTGCACACCAGACGTGGAATTATGTTGCGCTTCACAATGGCCCGCCCTGGCCCAATGTGGCTGCACCGTTTGGCCGTTGGCTCTTATTTGGACCGGCCGCACACGTTTGGGCCCGAGCGGGCCAGAGTCATGGCGTCGTGGTGGCTTGGAGGGATTCGTCATGGAACTTGCCGGTTCCCATGAGAAGGGCTCGACAGCCAGGGAATGGGTTGCAGAGAAATTGCCGGGCGAGGGAAAAGGGTGAAGAAGGCAGCGCCGTGCTCATGCTCCTGCTCATGCCCATGGCGTGGCCTGTGATTGCGGGTGTGATTGCACGCGTGTTTGGCGCCCCTCTCTTTGTCTGCAAACGGCGTGTTGCGGCTGATGCAGCCACAGCCCTCAGCAGGATTCTGCCTTGGGGGGGTCGAGGCTGCAGCATGACGGAACCAGAGCGTGCTGTGATTGCGCAAATGGCTTCGCGAAACATGGAGCCCGACTGCCACGAGGCCTGCCACGCCCTCGCCTGCCCTTGTATCGATGGCTGGATGGCTGGCTGGATGGATGGATGGATGGTTGGTTGGATGGTTGGATGCATGCATGGATGCGTGTGTGGGTGGGTGGACGGATGGGATGCGCCAATCGTCATCGGTCAAGTCGATGCTGCAACATTGCCATGGGCGCTTGGCCATGTATACAATACACACACACACACACACACACACACACACACACGCCCAGGCCACTGTAAGCGAGGGTGCTCGACGCTGCGCACCAGGCCCTCTGATCCTCTGTCGTTACTTGGGGACCATAAGGGGCTCTCGCCCTCTCTGTGTCCATGTCCATGGCTTGCCGTGGGACGCTCATGACAGGTGCAGGTGCAGGTGCAGCGCTCCCACGGCGCTGGTCGTGCCCGCGTACCGGTTACGCCCAGCGGCCGGTCAAGTCGATGGTGCGCAGGCCTGGCCCAGATGGCCTCGACTTACCCCTCACCTGATTCCGCTGTGCTCCCTCGACCACACATGCACCCCCCAAGACACACGCCGCAGAGCTCACGCGTCGCATGGCTTGCTGGGCTCATGCCTGCGTGCCAGCCAGCTGCGACAAGTACACCCGTCTGCGCTCGTCTGCGCCGTAGGGCTGCAGGGCGCTGTCGTCAGAAAAGAGGCCGGCTCGACTTGGTAGAGCGGGCGCTAAATATAGGCCGCCTGCCAGCCCGTCATGATAAGATTAGCAGAGCCAGCATGAACCCAGCGGCTAATAGCCCAAACTCAGTTGTCGAGACGTGCAAACCAGCGCCGCCGAAGAACACCTATTGACACGGCCTAGCGCCTGGCGACCTCTCTCGCCGTCGCCGTCGCCGTCGCTGTGTGCCTCTGCCTCGCGCCTTGGCTGTCTCTCGTGCCGGGCAGAAACGTGGCCAGCGAACCATTGCTAGCACTAGCTACCAAGAGCCCACATGGGGTTACATGGCATGCATCCCCCTCCCCCCCCCAGCCTGGCTGCCACTGCCGGATTGGTATGGCGTCGAGCGGTGAGATGGCATCGGAACGCCCGACAGAACGGTCATGTCGCGCCCTGCAAAGGCTCTTTTGGCTCGAGTCGCGACTGCTTCCACCACTCAGACGCGCCCGCCAGCTCGCGCCAGCAGCCATGGGCGCTGCTGCTAGCCGCAATCAGCACCACATGGATCCTCCCGCCTTACACGCTCACCGTCGGAACAGGTCACATATACACACCCACATATACACACACACAGACACACACACAGAGAAAGAGAGAGAGAGAGCCACAGTTTCACCATTTGCTCTCCCCGCCGTTGCGCGTGCAATGCAATGACTGCAGTCACCGGCCATACTGCACAGCAACCCACGCCCCCCCCCTCCCCTCTTCTTCTGCAAGCGAAGACACCGCATTGCCTGCAGTGGCCACGTATCGAATCTTCCAAAACTCCAACGCTTCACCACTTGTGCCATACATACCTGCCCTCTCTTGTGCTTTAGCCTTGTATAACCAAGACGGATTCTCCTGGGGCGGCAATGGGGTGTTCCAGGCGCTGACGTGGTATTTGGCACAAACAACAAAGGTACCAAGTCTGCTCGCTGTCAACTGGTACTGTAACATGGCGACCGTGTCGTGTCTGAACTATACAACTACTGGGAATGAGGAGCCGCCGAAGTTGACATGGGTCGCGTTCCCGCTTCCTCGTACGATGGGCCGATGCTGTATGTAGTGTGCCCCCCCACCTCGCTCGGCATGGAAATTGGCCCTCTTGCACTTTGAGACGCAGCATCTTGCGAGTGTCGCCGCCCACCGGCATGTCTCAAGGAAAGATATCTGCCCTCGAGTCTATTGGCTATCCCAATGGTAATTCGCCCCCCCCCCCTTCGCCCCCACTTCAATCTCCAGAGTGAGGCTAGAATTGCTTCGTTGCTCGCCGGGCGTCAGGGCCCACCGCACACGGTAGAGACATGGCTTTGGGAATACTTTAGCCAGGCGCGAATCGACCAAAGGGCTTCGCGTACGGCTTGGTTGCCTGAATTTACAACATAGCCGCCTGGCGGGGTTTCTGCAGTCGTCGCACAGCTGTCCTCTGCAGTGCGGGCAGGGCATGCCATGGTAATAATAGTTGGCGTCGGACGGAGGACCATGTCCAGCAGCACATGGCTGCGAGCGAGGGGGATGCTTCCCTCGGCTTGTGTGCCAACTGCTGTATTAGGCGCGGGTTGAGCATCCAGCAAAGCATTTCCGTCGTCGTCCGGAATTGGAACATGGGGAGGGGTTGATAGGTTGGAGCTTGGTGGGCCGCGGCTCGTGCAAGCCAAAGCCGACCAAGCCCCCCCACCACTGCAAGGCGTCGGGCGTATGTAGTAGTGTTGGTGAGATGCCATCAATAGACGTCTAGTAGTCTTTTTGGTCTGCTGGTCTGCAGCGAGTGATTGGAGGGGCATTGCCAGGCAGCCATTGGCCCCAGGTCATTGGTGTTTGGACGCGCAACAAGCTTTGGGCTTCGCGCTTGTGGGCTGTCAACTCACCGACACTGCAGTAAGGTGCTGATGCGGCTGCGGCAGGCCATGGAAGGATGCGTAGGGCTGGTGAGAAGGTGAGACGCTTGTTCGAGCGAAACTCTGGGGCTCTTGTCGTGGCTTGGACAGGCGGGGCGCGTTGCGCAGCGCAGCGCAGCGCACTTTTTGGTTGCTTGGAGGGGAGGCGGAGGCGGAGGCGGAGAGAGTGACAAAGCAGAGGGTTAGGTGCAGCGGCGGGCTTGCTGGTGGGCGCGGGGCTAGGCTGAAAGCAGCATATGCTCCTGGAGCGCCGCGTTCCTATTCCCCCACGACAAGAGCATCTAGTGTAGACCTAGGTGTAGAGAAGGCATGGCATGCGAGAGGGAGCAGCAGGCTATACGCAGCGACAAGTCGCGGTGTGGACAGGCGGGACGAGCAATTGCACATGCACGACGTATGTAGGCAGCGAGCGGGCGAACAAGGCGGTGGAGCGGCCAATGGCGGTGGGGGCGGGTGGTGCAAGTGCGAGTCTACCCAGAGACAGCGCGCACGAGATGGAAGGGTGCGTGGTGTGGTTTGCGGCCCCCAGCGCGCTGGTGCATGTGGCATAGTCGTCATGGAGGGCACGGCTGGCGCGGACGAGGAGCAGGAGCAGGAGCAGGAGCAGACGGGGCCGAGACGGTTCCGTATGGAAGCCGACGCGTGATGGAAGAAGGGCCACGGCGAGGAAGAAGGAAGAAGGGGAGGAGATGGGCGCGGGCGCGGGCGATGGTGAGAGGACGGCGGCGGCGATGGTGAGAGGTTGGCTGGCGGTGGTGGTGCCTTGTGGATGTGCATGTGGATGTCGATGTGGAGGGCTACTGGGGGGGAAGGAAGGGGCGGCGGCGGCGGTGGCACTCGCGCACTCACTCACACATAGACTCACACACACATTCACTCACACACTCACGCACCCAGGCACTCACTCACGCACCGTCGCCCTCGCGCTCGCTCAATGTCCATGGCGCCCTCGCTCGCTCGCTCGCCCGCCCGCGCTCGCGCACCCGCAGGGCCGGAGACATGCCAGAGCCGGGCGCCGGGCGAGGTTCTGTCAACGTGCCAGTCCGTCAGTCCGTCAGGTCGTCGCGGCCACGGCCAAGATGCATAGGGCTGTCCTGCGCAGAGCATTGGGCAGCTGGAGGGGCGGAGGGGCAGGGCAGGCCGGGCAGGGGAGGGGCAGGGCACCACAGGGCAGGCGCGCACGGGGCAGGGCAGCAGGCACGTACGCAGGGTGTGTAGGGCAGAGCAGGGCGTGGCAGGGCAGGGCAGGGCAGGGCAGGGCAGGGCAGGGCAGGGCAGGGCAGGGCAGGGCAGGGCAGGGCAGGGCAGGGCAGGGCAGGGCAGGGCCGGGCAGGGCAGGGCACAGGAGCGCGGCAGGGGGGGCGAGGGGGGGCAGACTGAGAGACACCGCTCCCCCAGTAGCCCGTTTTCGCCGCCCGCCGTTTTGTTACGCACCCTGGCCCGCCGCGTCCGACGCTGCCGTGCCCTCAGACGCCTGCGCCGCCCTGGCCTGCCCAACGCTCACTGGCCCGCTGCCAGCTTGCACTAGCGCCCATACTAAATTTACAAGACCGCAGTCGGTGAATGTCCACCGGCCAGGGTCCCTCCAAACCCTACCAAATTGAGCAATGCTCGAGCCGGCATCGCGAAGACCGGGGTGTTGCCTGCGACGGCCTGAAGCTGGGGACCAACACTAGCCTGCCTGTCTGTGCTCCACTCGAACGACTGCGCACGCCGCTGCTGCTGCTGCTGCTGGTGACGGCGAGATAAATATAATGTCCTGCTCCCCAGCTGCCCTCCACCACGCCTCGAGCATTAATAACACCACAGCCTGCCAGTTCTTTGCTCAAGTCCACCACCTACTTCTCCTCGTCCATCACTCTCGTCCTCGCTCTCGTCCTCTCCCTCTCTCTCCCCCTCCCCCACATCACATCTCCTCGTGCACACCATGCATCGACACTCGGCCTACCCGTATCCCACTACGGCCTCGGCCACCACCTCCACCAGATACTCGGGCACCTCCTCAGCCTTCTCCGCCTCGGCCAACCCCAACGAGGACTGGACAAAGATCTCAGATCTCGCCGAGCGCAGGCGGATACAGAACCGCATTGCCCAGCGCAACTACCGCAAGAAGCTCAAGAAGAGGCTCGAAGACTTGGTGAGTCTGCCCCTCGTATGCCTCCTGCCTGTCCCCGCGTCGTGTGCTAATTCAGCCTGCAGGAGCGCCGTGCTGCCTCGAGCTCAGCTTCACCTGAACAGAAGCCTGCCGAGCTGCAGCCACCCCAACCATCACCACCCCGCCAGGAGTTCCCCTCACCCTCTTCTTCCGAGTCCTCCTACACAACCCCGCCAGCCGAGGACCGCATGTTTTCCCACCAGTACACCAGGCAGCTGTCCACCAGCCCCCCTCCCTTCTCCGTTGCCTACTCTTCCTCGTATCCTGCCCCCGATGCCGTGGCCTACTCCATGCCCTACTCAGCCTCACCCTACCACACAATACCCACCACGCTCGCAACCGACATGCCAAGCTACGCCTACCTGCCCCCGCCACACTCGTCGTCGTACTCGACGCCGCTGCCAAGCCTGGTCCCCGGCATGAAGCAGGACTACTACTCCGAGGAGGACATGAGCCCGTTTGGCGTCGGCTACGCTGCCATTGGCGGCATCGAGATCCCACCACCACACTCGTACGCACACTCAGTAAGGCTCCCCGCCCGCCAGCCATACTACGCATAGACGACCCCCTCAGCTCTTGCACTCGCCGCTGCTACTCCCTCGCCGAGCATCCGCTGACGACTCCGGCAGACGACCACGCCGCCGCTTGAGCACTCGGACACGGACTACCCAACAACTCCCAACTCGATGCCGCGAACCCCGCCCATGCATCCCCTCCCCTCAGTCTGAGCTGGAATCCTGGTGCGCTGGCGTCAAAACCCCTTTCTTCTACTTCTTCTCCCACTTCTTCTTCTACTTCTTCTCCCACTTCTACTTCTTCTCCCACTTCTTCTTCTTCTACTTCTTCTTCTACCACTACCACTTCTTCTCGGGGGAACTCTACCTCTCTCCATCTCTTGTCATTACTACACGTTTGTTTTTCTTTGTACTGCATGGTCAGCGTCGGTCGTTTCGGCAGAGTTCCCTCCCTTGACCTTGGGAGGGAAAGAACATCTGGCGTTTTTTTGGGAGGCGGATGGCTGGGGGTTGTCTCTCTTGACAAAGTCTGATTTTTTTTGCGCCATGAATACATAAGATAGTACCTCATCAAGAGGACGTGAGCTCAGTGCCAGTGCGAGCCTGGGCCACAATTTGTACGGACATGAAATATATCCATCATCTCCTCAACTTCTGTGCACATGTTTGTTCGTGATACGTTCTGCGCCTGTGTAAATATTGCCTTGTGCAGGTGCATGCTGCTGCTGCTGCTGGCGGTACGATTCTCTTATGCGACGGAGTGAGGAACTTGCGCACCGCGGGGCTCTTCCTTGACGAGGTAGGCGTAGTTGCATCTTTGAGTTTCCGGCGCTTCCGCGGGGTCTCAGGCTCGTCTTGCTCCGTCGAATCTGGAATCACGAATTCATCCAGGTCTTTGTGCTGCTGCTGCTGCTTTTTGGGCCGACCAGGACCCCTTCGCGTCGCTTTGGTCTGGCTCTGTACCAGATGGACCAGTGACTGAATATCGTCGGCGGTATTGTATACATGCTCCCATATGAACTCGGATGTATACGTAGTTGTGCGTGTGTTGCAGCCTCTCCGGCAGACAAAAATCTTGCCGTAATCCTTGGACGACTTTTTCACGCCTGTAGGGTATAGTTCCTGGAAGCGTTCCAGGGAGACAATCTTGGCTGTGCCGTTGATTGAGGCGAGCGGGTTCTCATCAAAGGCGGCGGATATATAGAGCTCATTCTAGTTGGTTCGCAGTCAGTTCCCAACTCATCAATGCAACAAGGTGTGTCGATGGGGCTGGCTCACAGGGAGAAAGTCGGTGCGCTTTTTGCTCTGGTTTCGAATCTCTTGTTCCGAGAAGAACCAGAGAAACTTGGCCATCTTCTCGCCCTCGTCGACGTCTTCGAAGAAGTCACAGATGATGCCGACCCAGGCTTGGTTACCCTCTGCCTTGAGCAGGACGGCATCGCCCACTTTGCATTTGAAACTGCCCATGCGGGCGCCCACTATGTGCTTTCCTAGCAATTCAGGTGCCGCTTTCCGCTTCCGTGGTGTTGCATTCGCATCAGGCTGTGCATCTTCGGCGCCATTGTCGTGGTAGATCCATTCCCATGGGTGGTCTTCATATCCAAGCTCATCATCTGAGTCTTCGCGGAATACGGCGCCGCCAGCGAGATACTGCCGTGCCTTGTCCACCCGAGAGCGCTTGATGGGAGCCATAGGAGGAGTTTGTCGAGTGGGGGGGGGGAGTTGGAGTTTCGGGGGTTATTTGTTGCTTTGCTTGGCGCGGAGCCGTACGACGCGTCGCAGCAGGCTTGGCATGGCAAAGACGCGGCGAGCGCTATGATCTCACCGCCTACTCGACACGTTTACCGCGCAAAACTCATAAAGAAACAATTAGAGTTTACCCCCCTGGGGACACGCGTACTGGATCCCTCGACTTTGAATTCGCCGTTCCAAATGGCTCGCAACCAACTCCATGTGTCGTCTGTACCTGCTGCCCTCCCCTGTCGCGAGGAGGAGTTCTCCACTGTTTACAGCCATCTGGAGGCTGCCATCACTGAAGGCTCAGGTTCCTGCATCTACATCTCGGGCACTCCGGGCACCGGCAAAACGGCAACGGTGCGGGAGGTGGTGGCTCAACTGCAGGCCTCGGTGCAGGCTGAGGAGCTCGATGACTTCATCTTTGTTGAAATCAATGGAATGAAGGTCACAGACCCGCATCAGTCCTACTCGCTGCTATGGCAGGCGCTGCGCGGCGACCGCCTGAGTCCCTCGCATGCCTTGGAGCTGCTGGAGCGCGAATTTTCCACCCCAAGCCCGCGCCGTGTCCCATGCGTCGTCTTGATGGACGAGCTTGACCAGCTTGTGACGAAGAACCAATCCGTCATGTACAACTTCTTCAACTGGCCCGGGCTGCGACACAGCAGGCTAATTGTGCTCGCTGTAGCCAACACCATGGATCTGCCGGAGCGGACATTGAGCAATAAGATTAGCAGCCGGCTCGGTAAGTTCCAACATTTCCCTTGTTCCATTTCGCAAAAAAAAAAAAAATATCCCCCCCCCCAAGGCCCCACACGCGCTGAAACGCTTCTTTTGTGTGTACACCTCCCACATCCCTACCCAACACGAACAAGATTCCATTGTAGACCAGGGAGGCTACGAGCGGCGTGCACATCGCAATTATGCATACCGTTGCGTCGTCCCACATGATCGGGCGTATTTCTTTACGGCCTCGGAAAGGCTAACGAGCTTAATCCCCCTTTAGGCCTGACGCGAATCACGTTCCCTGGCTACACGTACGACCAGTTGATGCAGATTATCCAGTCTCGACTTGAAGGCGTCCCTGGCAATATTGTGCACCCAGACGCAGTGCAGTTTGCAGCCCGCAAAGTGGCAGCTGTTAGCGGCGATGCTCGACGCGCGTTAGACATTTGTCGAAGAGCGGTGGAACTCGCCGAAACCGAGGCCGAAATCAAATCACAGGACCGAGACGATGAAGCGCAGCCCGCTACCCCAAGTAGGACCGGTAGGAGTAACAAAGATAGCTCGATGCAATCCTCGCGATCAATCAAAAGTACCGGAGAGTCGGACGGTCGGATGGGTCAGGCGGGACTTGTTGCTTGGCGCAAAGGCGTTGTCACTATGGCGACGATCAAACAGGCAATCAACGAAGCCACTAGCAGCCCGCTGCAACAGGCATTGCGGGCTCTACCGCTGGCCTCCAAAGTGTTCCTGTCGGCGCTCTTGGCACGGCTCCGTCGCTCGGGCATAGGCGAAGCGGTGCTAGGAGACGTTATCGATGAAGCCAAACGTTTGGGCCTCATGAGTCAACTACAGCCTGTTCATGAGTACCTACTGGCGCCGGAAAAAGACGATAGAAGCAATGTTCCCAACAGCGCCGTCATGCAGCCTTTGACGCCGTCGAAGCACCGCGATGCTGCGGCCATGGGCTCGAAACAGTCGGACCTCAAGGTAGCAAGAGCGCTGGGCCTCGCGCATGCAGCCGCTGAGCTCGCAGAGGCTGGCATAATAGGTGTAGAGGCCCGACACGGTGAGCGTGTCGGTCGTGTGCGGCTAGGTGTTGGTGAGGATGAAGTGCGGCTGGCGCTAGGAGACGACGAGTCTGTCCACGGCTTGGGGCTCGGTGCATGAAGCGCTTTCGAACCTCACCGCCAACCCCCCCTTTGGCTTTGCCGCGACCTGACTCCGAAACAGTATCCTGTACCTACAGACCCTTTGGCAGTCACCCCATGTTTTTTTTTCTAGTCGACTGCATCTCGGCGTTCAATATCCAACCATAATATACACCCTTGATGGAGCAAGGCACATGCAGTGCCGTGTTTTTCTTTCCTCGTTGAAGCCACGCAATCCTCTTGCTCGGTGCTGCATATGCGACTCTGTGTCAAGTCGGCTTCGCCCGGTTGCTGTTGCGAATGATAGGCGTGGTCCAATGGGGTGCGCCACAGATCTACCGGTCAAAGTTGCTGTACCGGGCCGCCGACCAGGATCCATCGAGGAATAATCTAAATGATCTGTTGTTCATCAGCCGGCCGCCCCCCCCTCCCCCCCCCAACCACTGCAAGCCACAGGCCGATGGCTTTTCGCGCCGTGTGGAGAGGTCATGGTCATGATGCTATGCGATACGTACACCCACGGCAGTCGTAACACCAGCCAGCGCAGCGTTGAATACGATAATACGATACGACGCGACTCGATGATGGCGCCGACTCGAGCGACCCAGAGATCGGTGTCACTTGCTCGCCTATATGTATGTGTATATGTACAATCATGGCAAAATGCATGCAACCCAGCGGCCGCCCCACGTCGTAAGCTTAACCAACACATGCAGTGTGGCGGGACATGTCTTCGGTTGCACGACGACGCCTCTGCGCTTTGGAGGGGGTATGATCAACATGGCAAATTGTGGGCACCACACAGC